CTTGGAGTAAATACTAAGCATTCACTCAAATTTCAAAATTCTCGTATATTTACCTTCTGATTCCCTGCTCAACGAGAACCCGAGAACCTTGCACACACACATGTATCTGTGTAAATATATATATATATATATATATATATATATATATATAAATATATATATATATATATATCATGATTTTGTTTCGTTATTTTGTGTTAATTATCTTTCGCCGTCACCCCGCGCAGTGTCCTCCGGCGTTTCCTCGGCGAGTCGGCCCCGGTCTGCCGCCGCGCGCCCGAGGATCATGGACCGAGGATCTCCTTTGCACAAGGTTCCTTGAAATATTGACACTGTTTGTGAATCTTCATGGGATAATTTTGCACATGATGTAATACTGAAAAGGGCTGAAATTTGCGTCTCTTAAACTGCCCGTTTGTATTTAAAACTTATTAGATATCTGCATGCAATACATTTTCCAAAAGCCAGGCGAGTAATATGGCGTTTCCTTGCAGCTTCCTCGCCACCGTCCTCTCGGGAATTACGCACGCAGTCTGAAGATGCTCGGGGTGAAGATGCCCTCGCCGACCCACAAGGCATCAAGGTAATGTGCGATTTCCTGAAGCGCTGAACCCACAGAGAATGAGGCGGCCGCTTCGTGACTCACAAAGTCTCCAGCGCAGTTTTGTCACTTTATATATATATATATATATATATATATATATATATATATATATATATATATATATATATATATATATATATTGTCACTTCTCTCAACTCTCATGCATCGAGACGTTCTGCAGACAAAAATAAAACAGGACTTTTGTAACATTCATTTTAAATGCGTTATGCCCAGTTGTACCCCATGCCCATCACCCTCTTATCCCAATAACTCGCCCAATACCCACTTACACCAATACTCCATACCCTCACTCCCAAACCCACTCATTCCTGATGCCCAACCCTCACTCCCCAAACCCACTCACTCCTGATGCCCCAAAACCCTCGCTCCCCAAACCCACTCACCCGTAATACCCAATGCCTACCCACTCAATACTTAATGCCCACTTATTCCCAACACCCCTCCCCCCCCTCTCCGCAGGACCCCCCGCTCAGCGTCCTCGCAGTCGTGGCAGAGCGAAGGGAAGCTACACACGCGCGTGACCCGCCGCTCGACCTCGCTGGAGGACGTGAGCCGCGCCATCCCGCAGGTCAAGAATCCGGGCTCGCTCAACGCCCTCACTGTGGGTCAGTCGCCGCTCGTGGAATCCCTCTCTCCCTTTTCTTATTCTTGTCGTTATTTTTTTTCTTTCACTTCTTCAACTAATCACATTCTCCCTTTTCTTATTCTTGTCGTTATTTTTTCTTTCATTCTTCAACTACTTTCTTGTTTTTTACGGAAATTACAGTGTTCTGTTGATGTTGGGTTTCTGCCACATATTTTTTTCGTTGGATAATGTCATTCTCATTATCAATTATTAAGATTATTGTGTAGATATTGTTACTGTTGTTATTATTAGGAACATCTGTGTCATCTTTATTATCATGGAAATTATGGTTGTTATCATTATGGTTCTCATCATTCGTATCGTTGATGATACTGTTGTTAACAATATTGATTTAATTATCATTATTATGATGAATTTAATTTATATTGATGATGTCATTAATTTCATCACTGTCTACCCCCCCCCCCCCTCCCTAAACCAAAGCCGTACCCACTGCCAACCCCCCCCCCCATACCTTAAACCCAAAGCCATACCCACTGCCTACCCCCCCCCTCCCTACCCTAAACCCAAAGCCATACCCACTGCCAACCCCCCCCCCCCCATACCCTAAACCCAAAGCCATACCCACTGCTACCCCCCCCCCCCTCCCTACCCTAAAACCCAAACCATACCCACTGCCCCCCCCATACCCTAAACCCTACCCACCTGGCCATACCCACTGCCTACCCCCCCCCATACCCTAAACCCAAAACCATACCACTGCCTACCCCTCTCATACCCTAAACCAAAGCATACCCACTGCCTACCCTCCCCCCATACCTTAAACCCAAAGCCATACCCACTGGCCTACCCTCCCCATACCCTAAACCAAAGCCATACCCACTGCCTACCTTCCCCCCTCATACCTAAAACCCAAAAGCCATACCCACTACCTACCCCCCCCTCCCTTAAACCCAAAGCCATACCCCACTGCCTACCCCCCCCTCCCTTAAACCCAAAGCCATACCCACTAAACCCTAAACCCAAAGCCATACCCACTTGCCTACCCCTCCCCCCCATACCCAAACCCAAAGCCATACCCACTGCCTACCCTCCCCCCCCATACCTAAACCAAAGCCATACCCACTGCCTACCTTACCCCCCATACCCTAAGCCCAAAACCATACCCACTGCCTACCACCCCTCATACCCTAAACCCCAAAGCATACCCACTGCCTACCACCCCTCATACCCTAAACCCAAAGCCATACCCACTGCCCCCCCCCCATACCTTAAACCCAAAGCCATACCCACTGCCTACCTTCCCCTCCCATACCCAAACCCAAAGCCATACCCACTGCCTCTCCCCCCATACCCCAAAGCCATACCCACTGCCTCTCCCCCCTCCTCACACCCCTTATGTCTTTATTTATTATTATTATTATTATTATTATATATTTTATTTATATATTATTATATATATATATATATATATATATATATATATACATATATATATATTATATATATATATATATATATAATATATATATATATATTATTATGCATCACTCCCTGATTTTTTTTTGGCGCTTCACTGTCTAAACTGTGGCGTGAGTGCCAAGCCTTCTTTGTCTTGCGACAGACGAGGTCCAGCGTGCCACCCTCAGCCAAGCCGTCTATGAGGAGTGGTACTTCAAGCGGTGTCGCCAGATCAGGTCACAGAGGGTCAAGGCCAAAGACAAGCAGAGGGAAGAGGAAAGGACGAAGGAGATGGGGGGTGATTGGGGGAAAGCGGGATTGGGGTTGCATGTTTCAAGGTATGTGTGCTTATGTGTATATTGTACTTCTCTCCTTTCTCTTTCTCTCTCTTTCTCTGTCCCTGTCACCGTCTCTGGCTCTCTCTTTTGTTCTCTCTGTTCAACTCTCTGTCTCTGTCTGTCTGTCTGTCCGTCTCTCTCTCTCTCTCTCTCTCTCTCTCTCTCTCTCTCTCTCTCTCTCTCTCTCTCTCTCTCTGTCTCTGTCTCTGTCTCTGTCTCTCTCTCTCTCTCTCTCTCTCTCTCTCTCTCTCCTCTCTCTCTCTCTCTCTCTCTCTCTCTCTCTCTCTCTCTCTCTCTCTCTCTCTCTCTCTCTGTTAAATAAATGAGGGGGATCTATGTTGGTTCATCCATTTTCTTTCCACCAAAGAAAAACAAAGAGAAGGAGGAGAAAGTGACAGTTGCCGTGTGCGAATGGGAAGAGAAGAAGCTCGAACAGAAGAAGAAAGAGCGAGAGAAGAAAAAAACGGAAGCCCAGAAGGCGGCGGAAAAGGAGAAGGAACAGCAGGAGAAGCAGGCGCGAATAGCTGCCGCCCTCGAGGCTTGGGAGAAGGAGAAGATCGCGCTGGCCAGGGAAAAGCGGGAGAAGAAGAGGGTGGAGAAGGAGGCGAAGATGGAGAAAGCGCGGGAAAAGCTGACCAAGAGGAAGCGGTAGGTGGCTGGCGAAGTTTTTTTATTTCGTTTTTTTCCAGATAATGAGACTTTTTTTTATATAAACAGTGTATTTGTTTTATTTTATTTTATTTTATGTATTTTATTTATTTAGATAATGAGAGATTTTTTTTTCTTTATCAAAGGTGTACTTGTTTTCTTGTGATTATTTTTTTACTTAAGAAAGATGGCAAATTGATATAGATAGTTGTTAGATGTTCATACACGGCATTTGAATTAATCTATTTAATCTAGAAACAGGTTTGATTGCCAACTTGTAAGCTCGTATAAGTTGAGTATGCGAATACTGTCCACCGTGAGTCGCCAAATTCTTAAATCTGTTGAGATCGAAACCAGAAACAAGCCGTGTTTGAAATGTCTTTTTTATGACAGACTGATTTCTCTCTCTCTCTCTCTCTCTCTCTCTCTGTCTGTCTCTCTCTCTCTCTTCCTCGCTGTCTGTCTCTCTCTCTCTTGTCTCTCACTTCTCTTCTCTCTCTCTCTCTGTCCTCTCTGTCTGTCTTGTCTCTCGTCTCTCCTCTGTCTGTCTGTCTGTCTGTCTGTCTGTCCTGTCTCTCTCGCTCTCTCTCTCTGTCTCATCTCTCCTCTCTCTCTCTCCTCTCTCTCCTCTCTCTCTCTCTCTCTCTTCTCTTCTCTCCTCTCTCTCTCTCTCTTAAACTAACAGGTATTCAAATCCTGGAAAGAACAGAAGAAAATCGAAGAGACAGAGAAGCGAAGGAAAGCAAAACAAGAGGAAGCAGAACGGAAGATGAAAGAAGAACAAGAGAAGCTGGAGAAGAGGCAGGAGGCGGACATGTCTTTTGCCGCCTGGAAGAAAATGAAATGGCAGAACAGGGAGAAAATCTGAAGAAGGTTTAGTAAGTATCGAGGTTTTGTTTCACGTTCCTCCAGTTCTTGTTATTTTTTTCGTAATCATAATTCATTTTTTATAGATCATGTTGACCACCAAAATCTCGTTATTATTAAAGAAAAAAAATCCGATTTGTGATTAAAGAAAAAAAATCCGATTTGCGAAATAACGAAAGAAATCCGATTTGTGTTTAAAGAAAAAAAAAAAGATTTGTGATTAAAGAAAAAAAAAATCCGATTTATGATTGAGTGAAAAAAAAAAAATCCGATTTGTGATTAAAGAAAAAAAATCCGATTTGATTAAGAAAAAAAAATCCGATTTGTGATTAAAGAAAAAAAAAAAATCCGATTTGTCCGATTTGTGATTAAAAAAAAAAATTTTGATTAAAGAAAAAAAATCCGATTTGTGATTAAAAAAAAAAATTAAATGATTAAAGAAAAAAATCCGATTTGTGATTAAAGAAAAAAAACCGATTTGTGATTAAAGAAAAAAATCCGATTTGTGATTAAAACAAAAAAATCCGATTGTAATTAAAAAAAAAAAAAATCCGATTTGTGATTAAAGAAAAAAAAAAATCCGATTTGTGAAGACTGGGACATTTCCATCACCTGTTGTTTTCTTTCCAGCCAAGATTCGGAGGGCGCCAAGTCGATCATGTTGCGGCGCCAGCTGGAGCGCTCGTCGGAGGCGCTGGAGGCGTACGAGCGGTGGCTGGAGGAGGTGGAGGACAGGCGGCCCGCGCGAGTCTACGAGAACGCGCGCACCTCGGTCCTGGCTCGCGCGCGCTCTCCCTGGTGGCCCGGTGGCTCCAGGAACTCCCTGCTTGGATGCTGAACGCTGGGATACACAAATAACATATCCACATATACACAGGCGCATATAGATGTACATATACAGATACACACATACACACACACACACACACACACACACACACACACACACACACACACACACACACACACACACACACACACACACACACACACACACAATCATACACTTAATTTATTAATTAATTTCTACTTACTGGCCGTTTTAGGTGTAGTTTGTTTTGTTTTGAAGTGTTTTAGTGTTCTCTAAATACTCTTGACTGTGTAGCACGGATAGTTCTCCTGAATTGCTCAGACCTAATTCTAAATACACGTGAAAATCAGCCTATAATCACAAATATAGATTATTTCGCTCAGGTAAAAAAAGCACGGTCAAGAATGCAGCTTCCGATGGAATCTCCAATCGCAAAGAGGTGTGGATTTGGGCTGGATCGAGGTCCTAGAAGAACATTTCTCGGCCTCGACGGGATGTATAATGAAGCAGAATACTTTGCCACATTGTCGTGTAGGTATTATTTGTTATGTAATTTATTCAGCGGTGCACTTCTAAGCTCAATGCTGATTTGTTGAGATCGTATGAACCGAAATGTACAAATGCACACTTAAGTATGGCAAATCGCAAAAAAAAAGGTGTCTTCCCCCAAAAATATATGCAAGATTATAATAATAAAGTGTGAATCATCAAGTATTCTGTTTGAATCTTGTCTGTCTGATCCTTTTCCGTCGAAGACATGAAAATTTATGAAATGCATAATTTCTTAAACGATTCATACTCTACCACAGGTAGAAAATGCACTGCAATAAAGACCTTGTATTTGAGAGCCAGCTAACTTTAAAGGTGCTGTCACACTAGCACTTTTTCCGTCAATTTTTTGACAATTTTATTTAACATCAATACAAACATTCTCGAATATAACTCTTGATTTGACTATGCTTGGCTGAAAAAGTTGACGTTAAGGTTTTCAGACTGAAACGATCATTATCGTCTGACTGGAAAATCGACAATTCGCTCAAAAATTGACAAAATCTCAGAAAATTGTCAAAAAAAACAAAAATGATGGAAAAAGTGCTAAACAGCAGCACCTTAATCCGACTTACGATACGTAAAGCTCTTCCGCCGTTGGCTGTGATTTCCCATTGTGTATGGGTGATGTAAGAATCTGCGATGTGCATTCCTCTGGAAAAAGAATTTCATACATCCTCATAATATACGCGCGTGTCTATCTGTCTGCAGACCTACCGAAGTTCGTCCACAACGTAGAAAACTGACTGAGCAATAATATGCATGTCGCCGTCCTGGGACCCCATCCCATTCTACCATTTTAGGGGTTACCTATGCTTGTTAACCACTCCTGATAAAAACACCCGTATCTCAGGAAGAGCTATATTCTTAACACATCTTTTGTCAGGTCCTTCGCGGGCTTTTCAGTTATTTCACTCCCTTTTCTCAGGCATCATGAAAATATCATACCCTGTCTCAGAACTGACAAAGAGGAGCCCTCCCCTCCCCCCTTTCGCAATAAAACAAACATATCCAATCAGCAATATCATAGGGTAAGAAACAGAAACGGCTTCTGCTGCTCCAGGAATACCAGAATTTCTATTGCTACTAAAAGTGCCACAATAATAGGGCTGGAACGGAAATTCGTCTGCTAAACGGAAACAAAAGACGACCGACGGATGGTGACGTCACTACGGATTTTCTTCCTAAGGCCGTATTTTTATTTTGTATGGCTACAGATGTTTTGAAGCTAAAGAAAAGTGTTTAAAACAATAATATTAAAACAATAAACCTTCAGCCCTACAACACACTCTCTATGAATAGTCGTATACTTTTTAAATAAATCAAATGCACAGGTTCAATGTCGCATTTTCCTGAAGTTATACATCTAAAACATTTTCTATAAAGAGATGCGGGTGCTTTTTATGTTGTTGAATGTTACATTACTGGCTTGGTAATGTATTTATTGTATATTGTTTTATGCAGTGCAATAAACAAGAACGCAGGGCACGACTGGCAGCTTTTCCGTAGCAGCATTTCTGCCGTCTGTAAACATCAGATGATAAAGAAAGCGGATATAAATAATAACATTGGACCCAAAAGTATTATAAACGGAGGAATATTATATTATAATTACAGTGTGTAGGATCAACGTCTGGTGATTATAAGATTTCCTGAGCCTGGAGTGTGTGTGTATGGGGGGGGGGGGGTCGCCGCAAACAGAGCACGTTGGCAGACAGAGCATGGGGAACGGGGCGCTCGATGTTATGGACTTTGGCACTCGTAATTTACACATCCCGAACAGATGAATGTTAACATAATCAAAATGTGGTGCATGGTCTCATAAACGATGAATGAATTTATTGTAACCAAATATGTTGCACTGTAACTCTTTAGTTCAATTTAAAAAAATCACCGACTGTTTAAATTAACTTCCAATCACTAGAGTAATCTTGAAAGGCTGAAGATGGGTAAAGGAGTTGCTGTGTGAATGGGCTATGGTAGGTCTAGGTAAGGGAATTACATTAAGGGTTTCACGTGTGTATCCAGGAGGGAGTGGAAATGATAAGAGGGGATAGAGGGAGGGAGAATGTACGTGTAGTTAGAGTTGAGGGGGTGGGTTGTGTTGGGGGGGGGGAGGAGGAAATGGTGTAGGGGGAATATGAGTAGGAGGATGGGTGTCGGGAGGATGGATATCGGCAGTAGTTGGAGTTGAAGGGGATGGGTTGTAGGGAGAATATGAGTAGGATGATGATAGATATTGGTAGTATTAGGATATATATCGGTAACAGGCGGAATTGAGGGGTTAGGTCGTGTTGAGAGGGAGGAGGAAGGGCTGTAGGGGGAATACGAGCAGGAGGGGGATGGATATCGGCAGTCACTTGGAATGTGAACGGAGCACGAGTTGTGAAATTTTGTGTCTCAAACATATAGTTTTGAATATCTTTCATAGCTTCTGTAGTGGAGTTGGTTGGAGAGTTTTGTGAGACAAAGGTTTTCTTATAAGAGGGGGAAGAGGAGACTGGTGTCTGAGGAATAAAGGCAAACGAAAGTGGAGGTGAGTATGCGGTAGGGAAAGAAGGGGTGGAAAGTTTAGTCTGTCTGCTGCGGGTAGTGCGGGGAGGGAGAGGGGATGGTGTTGGGGCTGTAGTTGAGATTGGTGTCTGGATTTAGAGTGGCAAATGAATTTGACTGAGGGAGGTAGAATGTAAAGTGGACGTGGGGAAGTAAGTAGGTATAGGGGAGGGTGTAGGAACATCTTGGGGTAGAAGGGAAGGGGAAGGGCGAGCGACATTACTAGTGTAGGGAATATGAAAGAAATCTTTTCAGCGTGCTTCCTGTCTGGCTTCATGTAGAGTGAGACCATTTTGTATCTGAGAGTTGCTACCTTAGACTCAAACTTGTACGTGGGAGTCTATAAAATACATTATGGGGTCCGCCGCATTTAGCACATGTACGTGTTTGTGCCGAGCAGTTCATCGGTTCAGGTTGGGCGCATAGGGGGTATCGGTCTGTGGAACGACAGTGTTTGGCAGGATGTCCAAAGCGCCAACAGTTTTGACGTTGACGGGAAGGAGGATGGTATGGTCGAACAGGAAGGGTTTGTCTACCAAAGTAGATACGGAAGGAAAGGTCATGGTTACTTGAAGTAATTTTGGCAATGTTGGTGGGTTTCTTTCGATGACCTCTTGGAGGAATGGAGTAGCAATGTACTGATATTATATTACAGTCTTTGAGACAGCCGGGTAAGTATTCTCCACACACTGACCAATCGATATCCATTGGCAGCTTGCTGGGGAGATAGACACAGTTCCGGTACAAGTATTAAGAGTTGGATGAGCTTCTGCAGGAATGGGGTTGCCTGAGATGTCGGTTAGATTCGATTATGATATAGCTTCGGTTTCAGACGTGACTGTTGCGAGACGGGAACGATCAGGTCTGGTACGAAAAGGGCCTCTGCTCACTTGTTTTTGAGGCATTGTTGAAAGAGAAGTGTGTTGCCTGAGTAAGGAGCTGTAGGGGGATCACGAAAAATCAGTCCCATTTATCTGGGCTAATTAGTGTATTTAAGATATTGTAGGGTTGGTGATAGTAGGAAGGGGTGTTTGATGAAGGTTGTAGGGTTAGAGGTAATGAAGTTGAGGAAATTGGGAGATGGAAATGTCTTCTGGAGATTGAGTCTGAGCTTAGGTGGGTAATGCACTAGTAGGCATTGAGTGGGTATTTAATTGTTCAGAGCCTGGGGTCGGGGAGCCGGGAGAGTTATTTGATGAAGGGACTAGCCCCTTGCCCCTAATAAGGGTATTACATCTTCATAACTGGCCATGGGAAGCCTTGACTATGTTGGGGAAATAAACAGTCCACCCCTCAGGGTCCCCTTGAGGGGTAAGGGCTAGGCAACTAAAACAGAGGAATACCGTGCCCATGGTTCCCTCATACCGTTCAGGACTGGCACAAAGTCCGCCTTTCATCCTTTCAGCACGGCTCAGGAAGTAGATAGTGGAAGGGGTTGGAGAAGGGATGGAAACAAAAAAGCTGGAGGGAGAAAAGGCCATGCAAAATTACGAGTCGAGGGCTGAGGCCCTGGCAGGGGAGATTCCTGCATTGGGTCTCTTTCTCCGTCTCCAAAGCCCCCCCCCCCCCATTCATTAATAAAAACTATCCAAAATATGTTTACTTCGTTAGCCTTGGTCTTATATTACACTTTTTATTTTCCCATATTTCTGCTATGCTTGTAGCATTTGAAGATCAGATTGGGATGAAAGAATAAAACTTATTTTACTTGGTTTATTGATACTAACATTATTTTCTTTTATGTACAAAATCTGCTTCACAAAATATGGCATCACAGTGCTTTTAACAATAAAATATAGTGACTAATAAAATTACATTCCTATTTACTAAAACAACAATCAAGAATTTACTTGACACAAATGAACACTATAATCAAAAATTAAACAAGCACCTAATGATTTACTTGGTCAATTTGCATTTGCATTTTTCAACCAAACTTGACATCCAGAGATGATTTTAGTCAAATATTACTTTGAAGGAGTAATGGAAACAGGTAAAATAATAAATAATACAGGAACACTACATCATATAACTTGTACATGGCCTTGTACTGTACCAAATGCATGTCCTGATGTGTGAATTTTCCTTTCTTTGTTATTCAAGACTCCAACAACAACAGAAAATTGGCAAAATTATTTTTTCTAATCTCATGTGACAAAACAATGATTGCAAAAGTAGACTGTAAACTCATGTCACAAAAATAAAAGGCTGCTTTAAGTTATAATATTAATATTCAGTGTTAAGTCAAAATCATATGCTGGATAAAAAATACTGTACCATTTAAAGGAACATATCCCTGGTAATGAATCTATTAATTGTGAAGACTGTAGTATTCAAAACTTATGGAACTGCAACACTGCTACCAATACTGGACACTCAATAGATGACTTGATGGAGAAGACTGGAACACATCTAAGAAGCTGAAGACTGGACACTAGAACGCTGAGACTGGAATATGGAAGCTGTTGTCTGGAGTACTAATAAGATGCAGCTGACTGGAACACTGATCATATGCTGTAAACTGGAAGTCAGTAGTAAAACAAAGCTGGAACAGCAAAATGATGTTGGAGGCTCAAGTTGCAGGATTACAAATTCATTACTGTAGACAGGAACAACGTAACATGCATGTGGAACATGCTTTGTTCCTAGGACCATTACAGCTCTGCTGTAGCCGATAAAATTATGTTTCTAGTAGAAAGATGTATCAACATTTACAGTGGCTTTAACACTTATAACAATCATTTGAGAGGAGCCAAAATATTCTCCAAATTGGACGAAAATATAGTAGTCCTGAAAGCTGCAGTGTTTCTAGGATAATAAACAAATAAAAAACAAACAAGTACACATCTTTGTGTTTTTTCAATGCTTGTTTGATTTTGTAACAGTTTGTTTGTACACAGCTTAAAAGTACACTGTAATGTCCAGAAATTCTGCAGCAAAGTTGATTAAACACTCGTTTTCAACTTCAACTAGAGGAAAAAATGAAACAAAAAGTTTGTTTCATTCTTCCTAATTCTTGCTTTTATCCTGTGGCTTCAGATTGTACAAGAGAGCACTACTGGCAGTGGATGAATAAAAATAAAAATGGGGGGTTTCAGTTGAAGTATTCTCCTGAAATCAAATTCTAAGGTAATGCCATGGATTACACTTTTAATTAAAAATGTGTAGAATTGGCTTCTTCTTACAAACCAGCTGAACAAAGACTTCCCAGCGAAGTTTACTGTACCTGAAAATGACATAAAAGCTTGAAACACAGAAGAATTCCAGTTTAGGTGACCAGGTCAAGGTGTAAGTCCTTCTGTTATCGTGAAGATCCCGTGTAGCCGTGAAGACCCTATAACATTCGATGATCCCGAGTCGTCGTGAAGAACAATCATCCAATGCTCAGGTAACTGAAGTAACTAAACGTTGCAGAACCTGTTGTTTTCTAGAAGTCTTAACGTGATCCTTTAGGAGTCATGATAAGAAATAATATTTCTACCAGACATCCTTCCAAAAGGTGTAAATCCATTGTTGATCATACAAAAATGCTGAAAATCCTCTCAACTAGGAATGCAATGCATGTGATGAGTATGATCTAGTTGATAGAATTCTCATGATAATTGTATGGATTTGTATCAGAAATGAAGCATGAAGTAAATATTTGTATTGGAGGGGAGAGAGGGGTCTAGACATGCCCTAGCCTTCAAGTGAAATGAAGTAAATCCTATAGCTGTCTCAACAGGAACTTCACTTCAAGGCTTTTGCTCAAGTGTACTCCTGGACAACCAAGAGCACAGGATAATCACTGGTCATTTGTGCAAACAAATCTTCATGTCTACTCCAGTACTCAGGTTTACAGCCTGTCTCTTTCAGGCATTTTTCAAGTACGTCCCGTCATTCTTCCAGTTCAGATGAATTCATCCTGCTTCTAAAAATAGTTCGTTTTTTCTTCTTGTAAAAAATCACAGTGGATACCTGTAGTTCCAAAAGTTTTACTGGTTTCTTAAGCACAGAATCACTGGAATGGGAAGCTTAAAGTGTTTTAAGAAGAATCTTCACAAAAGAAGAGCTGTTCCTTTTCTGCTTTTAGTCCTTGCATCAAGGAATTTCGCAAAAGATAATTCTTCCACACTCCACCAAGGTCACCCTGACCACAACAGCCACTACATACACACACATGGACCATACACTCAGCTTATTAAAATGGAAGTCACTCCCCATACTGTTTGTGCACTTAATGCTACACTGTTTTTCTTAATGACTTCATTGCAAACTCATTTTCTGCAATCACTGAGTTGCAACTGAATCTGCAGTTGAGCTTTTACAGTCTATTCTCACTTTTGATGTATCTGTATACACCAAATTCACAGCACTTTCAAATTTCTGCCAATCCTCTTGAGTTCCGAGAGCCAACTCCGACCTAATAAAACTGACATCTAGACTACCCGGCCGATAGCTATAGAGAAACGAGAGGCTCAGATTACAAGCAATATAATGACATTCTGGTGAAGAGAAGCTTGAAGGTGACATCAAGACGACCTTCACTATCACCATAAATCTGAAACATTCTGAAAGATTATTTTGAGACATACTTACGTCTACTCGTACCTGTGAAATTATTAGTTTTACACATAATAAAATATATCTGTATAAACATGTATGTATGTATGTACATTAGCAAAGATTTAATATGTATGTGTGTTTGTATGTATGAGCATTCACAAACATTTAATATACATGTGTGTGTGTGTGTGTGTGTGTGTGTGTGTGTGTGTGTGTGTGAATGCATGTGTGTGAGAGTTTGTGTGGTACAATGTGTGTGTGTGTGTGTGTGTGTGTGTGTGTGTGTGTGTGTGTGTGTGTATGTGTGTGTGTGTGTGTGTGTGTGTGTGTGTGTGTGTGTGTGTGTGTGTGTGTGTGTGTGATGTGTGTGTGTGTGTGTGTGTGTGTGTGTGTGTGTGTGTGTGTGTGTGTGTGTGTGTGTGTGTGTATGTGTGGTGTGTGTGTGTGTGTGTGTGTGTGTGTGTGTGTGTGTGTGTATGTGTGTGTGTATGTGTGTATGTGTATGTGTGTGTGTGTGTGTGTGTGTGTGTGTGTGTGTGTGTGTGTGTGTGTGTGTGTGTGTGTGTGTGTGTGTGAGTGTGTGTGTGTGTGTAAATGCTTGTAAGAATATATTTGCATTTGTCTAACACAATATATCTTCTATATCAATATATATATAAATAATATATACGCTCAGACTCAATATTTCACACAAGTATATCAAATTCATTTATAACAACACACATATATATCCATCACTCTTTTTCAACTTACCTCTGACATGGACAAACACATATCTTTATACGCACACATGCACATATGCATACGCAACACAATACATAAAAAACCTATATCTATCTATATATATATATCTATCTGCCATACTATCCTTTTACATCTATCCATCTGTCAGTGTAAATGTATTCATAAATGTATCAATCAAAATGTGTTTCCATATCTATCAATCAGTGTAAATGTATTATGTATATCTATCAAAGCAATTTCATTTATATATCTATCTATAAATATAAATGTATTTATGTCATACATACACACATACATACAATCATCTAAGTAAATCTGTGTTCCATTAATACAAGTGTAAGCCTCAAACTCACATGCAACCTCATGAACACTGTAAAATTGTTCATACAGGGTACATCTTTACTCTCTCCTATTGGAGAATAAATCCCCTTTTCATAAAAAAAAGTCAGGTTATCTAAGTTTGATCAACCAATATTAGTTTATCAAAATGATATAATAGCCCTTACAAAATGTAACTATTCCCAATGATGCACTATAAAAAAGGTGGAATTTCTGAACATTTAATCTTGTAGCCCATGTTTTTTTTTTGTCTGTGTATCCATTAGTGTATGCCTCTATATGTGTCAAGTTCTATGCCAACATGTTAATCCATTTATACCTATACCTAAGCTCATTTGCACTGGCAGTTTTCATGCAAGACTTAAAAACTTAACTTCTTCCAGAATAAATACATACCAGGCATATGCAAATTATACATATATATATAATTATATATTATATATATATATATATATATATATATATATATATATAATATATATAAATATATATATATACATATAATATATATAAATATATATAAACACACACACACACAAAATTATACATCATAAATATATGTATATGTGTATATGTATGTATATGTATATGTGCATGTATGTATATATATATATGTATTATATATATATATATATTATATATATATATATATATATATATATATATATATATATATATATATATATACATATACCATGTATATATACATATGTATATACATATATAATATATACATATACATACATGTATACATATATAACATATAATATAATATATAACATATATATATATATATACAATAATACATATATACATATACATAATATATATATATATATATATATATATATATATAATATATATATATATATATATAATATATAATATATACATATACATATATATATATTATATATATATATATATATATATATATATATATATATATATATATATTATAATATATATATATATATATATATATATATATATATATATATATATATATATATATATATGTATGATATATATTATATATATATATATATATAATATATATATGTATGTGTGTGTGAGATAACAAACAAATAAACAAAAACAGTACAGGTAAATACAAACCCTTTCAACATAATCTTAAGAGCCTGTTTTCTTTCCCTATCTGCAAACCAATCAATTAAGTAGCCTGCCATCTTAGGGGCATTCCGGTACAGCAAGAAGAATCTATGGTAGTTGGATAAAGACCATGCAGCACGTAGTTGCAGGGCAAAGCTGATGCACTCATCCTGTTTCTGTTCTTTTGTTAGCCCAGCCATGAGGGATGTGATATCTGGAATATTGTACATATGCTGTAAGACAAATGAAATAACATATATATATATAATCTATTTATCTATCTATCTCTTCTCTCTTGAATATGCACCTAAAGCACTCACTCATGCACAGACATGTAAAACATACATCCACATTGCAATTTCATCTTTTATAAAACAAAAAAGAAACAAAGAAACTGTATAAACAAAGTCACTATGTATTTTAACTCTTCTTCTTCTATAACACATCAGGCTCAATTCTGTCATAAACATACATACATAAATACAAATATATATATATATATATATATATATATATATATATATATTATATATATATATATATATATATATATATATATATATATATATATATATATATATATATATATATATCAGAAAAGAGAAACTTAGAGACCAGTAATAACATACCTAATGTATTCTTGGTAAACATATAATAAAGAAGTCTGTAGGCAATAAATTCAAGGTGGTTATCGCCACCAACTTCACTGTACAACTGCTTGAGCTGACTCTGGCACTGATTAAATTCTTCGTGGTCTCCCTTTTCAAGGGCTATGCGAGAGTGAGTTTCATACACCTGAAAAATATTAGTTAATTAAAAAAGCTAAATCTGTGTACTATTTACTCATATCAAATTAATTAATACATTTAAATTTGCCTTATCAGTACTCTTTCAAGAAAATATCTATAATGTCCCCCAAAATAATCCTTGATTTTCATATTTTGAAATTGATTTAAGAAACTGTGAACAACCTCTCATACCAGTTTTGGATATAAATAATGAATATCTATATGACTTTTCATAGCATAGATAAAAATCAAATGTCTTCTCTTTGTCATTAGCTTACAAAACGCTCTTTAAGAAGTAAAAGCACCTATCCTTTAAGTTTATAACATTATAACAACATTCACTGACTTCACTGGCACTCTTAAAAATTTAAAGATAAACCCATAAAATACAATCCTTTACCTGAACAGTGAAGGCATCTCGAACTCCTTGGATAGTGAGATCTTGACGTAGTGACTTCAGCTGATCACAGGCATATCTGTAATCTTGGTTTCGAACCCACTGACACTTTATATGCTCTAGGGCTCTTTTCAGAGTATCTATCGTTCTTACTGTTGAAGGGTCTGGTGCCTACGGAACAAATGAACTTCTAAAAACTGATTCAAATGAAAATTATTTTTGATTATACTCAACATTCCTTTCCACAAACACTAATAATGTGTGTGTGTGTGTGTGTATATATATATATATATATATATATATATATATATATATATATATATATATATATATATATATATATATATATATATATAGGCATTATGCAATTACTATCAACCTAACTAACTTTTTCAAATATTCCTTGCAAACCCCTCACTCAAGTTATTACTTACCGAGGTTAATCGTAGGTACTGTTTTTCTAATGATGTTGAAGTGCCAACAATGTGCATGGATGTCCAGTCTATATCATCTCCATCCACAGTAAAAGTATTACTTATTGTTTTTGTTAGGTTAATGGGCTTTCTCTTTTTGTGAGGCCCTGGACCACTTCCAGCAACACTGAACCTAGCTGCTCTCTTCTGCAGACGTTCAGAACTGCCAAGCTCTGGATCAAGGCTCATCCGTCCATGTTTGGAATAGAAGTAGGATTCATTTCTGTAAAAGTTTGGAGATGTTAAAAGGGTTTTCCTTAAAACCAATTTTGGGTATAGGGCCATGCCAATTTTATTTGTTGCTTTAATTTTTGTATTTTAAGAAGAAGAAGAAGAAGAAGCCTGGACCAGAAACTACTAAAGGTTTTGCTTTCACAAACCTGTAAATATTGCCATTATTAGAAACACATGCTGCTGGAAACCAATCAGAGAGTTTCTTTGTAATTACATGCTAGAGGACAACCAATCAGGAAGTGTCTTATCTTTCAAAACAACATGGCGCCTTTTATAAGGTTTTGTTGTGTGCTGGTGTGTGCCACTAAACTCTAGAACTAAACTAAACTTATAGTTTTAGATGTACAGTAGTTTATAGAGTTTATAGAGTATGTAGACAGTAGAGCAGATTGATAATAATATATATTATATATATATATATATATATATATATATATATATATATATATATATATATATATATATATATATATATAGTAAAGCTGAAAGTTTGGATGCCAAGGAAGACAACAAAATGCTAGTGGAAAGGGACCCAACACAGCAAACCTTTGTTGTTGTATAGGTTTTTGGTTTTTTGGGTTTGAGTTGTTTGTCTTTTAATGTTACAGGCTTATTAAACTTTGGATTAACATCATACAAAACAAAAATTACAATATTAGTAGTAAATGCAACACAAACAAATTCAGTCAAAAGCAATGTTCTTCATTCAGAATTGTAGTAATAGACCAAAGGATGAGATTCATTACCTCGAAGATGTCATGAAAAGCTGAAAATAATCCTGCTATTCTTTATGTTCTATAAGACATACATCTTCACCCTAGATCTCACCCTACCCCCTGCCTTGTCACTCCATTTTCTTTTTTGAAAATTCAAAGAAGCAACAAATAAAATTGGTGCGGTCTAAGCATGACAATATCACTGGGTTAATCTTTTTTTAATATACTGTTTTAGTCTTTAGGATTTGTAAGGGCCTGGTGAAATGAGTTGTCTAAATATCATGTATTCTGGCATTTCTTAACCCAAAGTCTCTGGGAGAAACATTGGCGTTCACTTAACCTCCACTCTGGGGAGTGTGCATGGCTGACTGGGCTAGCATCCTGGGCCCCTCTTAGACGTGGCCGGTGCATGACACTCACCAGGCCACACCAACAATGTGAATATTGTAATGCAGTCCAAATATCACGTAGAAGGAAAGCAACAGAAAGGGGAAAGTTTTACTCACTTGCCCTTCCCCTTCATTTTCTTGTTCCCTTTGCCCTTCATGTTGACTGGGCTTCTTCCTCTCTTGTTCAATCTAATAAAGCCTTTTGATTCATCATCTGAGCTGGAAGAATGTCGGTTACGCCTATTATCTCGCCTCCCTCTTCTATAACCAGGTGATCTTGATCTTGACCTTGATCTTGACCTTGATCTTGACTTCGACCGTGAGCGAGACCTTGATCTTGAATGAAACCGAGAATCAGACTTGGAAAGGTACATCCTTTAGTACGATTCACAAGAAAACAGTAACTAATAAATTTTACATTCCCTACATGCAATAGGACACATGATACATAAAGAATCAACCACTAATACTCAAGTAAATCATTACTATACTTCAATTAATCCTACAATCCGGGTGACCTAACAGTCCCATTATGGAAAAATTTGGGTTGAGGGCTAGGTGATGCGAACATGCCATCACTGGGTAAAATGGCTGCGGGCCAGGTGACACGAACCTGCCGTCATGAGTGAAGGCGGCCAGGGTGATGGAAAAAACTCGCCATAAGTACACAAACCTCTGGAGTGCGATTTGAATAATTTGGCCCAAAGAAGAGGGTTTTAGCATTATTTCCATTGATAAACGAATGTGGAATGTAATATGTGTAAGCTGTGATTGGAAGAGTGCCAGCTCCAGGGGAGACGTTATTCTCATGAAACGCATTGTACTCCTGGCCGTTGTGACCGGTGGTGCAGGTTGTATTACAGAAAATTTGAAATTACGAAAATATGAGATATGACACAAATGACCAAATGCTCCATATATCTACTACAAAGAGGGATGATATGGAGTTTGTGGAACGAAAATAAGTTATTTCCATCTGGATAAAGCAAATCAGAAGACAAATAATTACAGAAAATTAAAATTACAAAAATATGAGATATGACACAAATAGCCAAATGCTCCATATATTTACGACAAAGAGGGATGATATGGAGTTTGTGGAATGAAAATAAGTTATTTCTATCCGGATAAAGCAAACCAAAAGACAAATATGGTCACTGGAAAAAGTTTACACAAAATAACTTTGCAAAGGGGAGGCACAGAGTCATGTCACTGCTCATGCGTGTTCGCATCTGCCTAGCTTTCGCGCCACACACCAAGGATGTTGGCTACTTACGAAACCCACTGCCCATATTTTCGGCACTGATTTCCACTATGCAAATGGATCTAATGGGTAATTTTTTTCTTTCATTAAATATCATTACTTTGTTTCTTTACAGATCTAGGAATTGGCATAGAAAATAAGTACCTATTAAGCAGTACTAAAGAGAACTGACCTCATCCCTCTCATTGACCCAAATGCTGGGGTAATATTTTTCTTCATTCCTTTCTTTCCCTGCAGCTTCATAGGGCTTGAAGAGCTATTATCAGACCCTGCATCAGTTCCAGTATTCCAGCTTTTGATATGGGATATTATATTTGAAGTAGATTCACTTTGTATACTGGGTAATTCTTCCTCTTCCCAATTCTGAAATAGATAGTAAAAACAATATAAACAATAAAAATAAAATCAATAAAATATTTGCCATTCAATTTTTATTAAGATACTATGAAAGCAACTGTACCTTTGTCCACAGAGTTCCATTATTTGCTGCTTGAGTAAGTTTTCCCTTCAAGCAAATTTCCACCAGGTCCTTGTCCAGTTCAGTAACACAGCGTTTAAAACATCTACTTACATATGTTCTGAAATAAATAACAAAGACATAAAATGTCAGAAAATAAATCAATAACACAAGGACTTAGTAAAACAACACTCCCTTTGCCATTTTAGCATATCAATACAAAAAACATCAAGTAGAGTACAATCTATTTGACAAAGTGTGTCATCAATTCAACATAGAACATTACAATCGAACAACACTTACTTCAAACTTTCTGGCCAGTCACCATTGGCTACCAATCCTGTCATCTCTTTTATTGCCTTGGATTGGAGGACGGCACTTTTTGTATCTTGGCCTTTGTTCCCCACATCCTGGTTTTCATTTTCTGTTTTGCCTTTATTCATTAACGACTCTGCTTCTGTATTTTCTTTGCCAACAGAACCTAACATGTTTTGCTGTTTATTCAAGAAATTGTTGCTCGTCCAGGGATTATTTGACATAATGACATTCTTGCCCCTGTTTTTGTTCTTCTTATTATTTTTCTGGTGTGTATTTGCATTATTAAGATGTTGATGTCTTTGCTGCTGTTGTGATTTATGCTGCTGCATCATCATCATTTGCTGTGGTTGCTGCTGCTGCTGTTGCTGTTGTTGCTGCTGCTGCTGTTGTTGTTGTTGCTGCTGCTGTTGCTGCTGTTGTTGTTGCTGCTGCTGTTGCTGTTGTTGTTGCTGTTGTTGCTGCTGCTGATGCTGTTGGCCGTGATTTGGCTGATGTAAGGCATTATATCCCAGACCCTTCTTCACAGGGAGACTGAATTTAACAGGTCCACTTCCTGCATTGTTTGACATTCCTCTTCCTACCTGATTCTGGTTAAAATTGGGAGGTGGACCCCTTGGAGGAGGTCCAGCTGGGCCATACCAACCACCGTTATAACCATTGAAGTTATCAAAACCTTGGCCATATGACTGATAGAAATTCTGATTGTAGCCCTGACCAAAATTCTGATTTCCAAAATTGTGAGATGGTACATCAGACTTTTGTGGACTAACATTATCATTCTGTTTTAAGAGTGAGTTATTTGACATGTTGCCTTTGTTCTGGTTCCCCATTTCTGAATTCTGGTTAGGTGGAGGACCAGGAGGCAGGGGGGGATTATTGCTGTTTCCCCCATTATTCTTATCTTTATCATCAGAATTGTCAACATTTTTCCCTTCTGACTGCTGCTGTGAAGCTGGTGAAGGACCAGGCATTCCATGTGGAATGCCATATCCCCAAGGAGCCTGCTGGAAAAAGCAGGCTCTTAAATAAAATACATTTGATAATACACTATAGAAATCAACACTACTGCTAATATCACAACAAGTATTTACCAGAAAAAGGTCAATGTGACACAAGTCTACTTGAGTGACATACAAATACATTCTAATACTAATAGATCTTTCATTCTAATAAAGATAATCCTTTGTTAAGGTAATCAACAAGGAAGTACCATTCTGTTAGCCTTGTACATATATATCATCTACTAATCTTGGCAGCCCTTCATAGGTTTCAAGGAAAATAAGTGAACATACATAATCAAGAATTCCAAATAAAATACACAAAACAACCGGACTAAATTCATATTATAAAACTTAAAATATCTATAATATATAACATTATCATATTTATAATGGGAGCAACAAAAAAGCAAAATATTAACTGAATAATGAAGAATAAAGCTCTGCATAAGAAAATTACATGCATCACTTAATTAGATCGTAGAAAATCATAAACAATAAAAATACATGACACAAAATTGTACTAGTCTACTTACATAGCCTGTATAGCCTCCATATCCAGCTCCCCCTGCAGGGCCATACCCATTCCATCCAGGCGGAGGTCCTGGTGGCCCATTGTATGAATGGCCATACCCTCCGAAAGGTCCAGGGGGTCCACTAAACCAACCTCCACCTCCTCCTCCCTGTCCTTGGTTGCCTCCATGCCAAGGCGCCATCCCATGAGGACTGTTATTCATTTTGAAGCCAGTATCTCAAGACCTACGGGCAGAGAAGAAAACAATTTGAAAATTGTGATTCCCTTAAACGCATCCCATGTAGCATCCTAATGACATACAATTCAGCTTTACCATTGTAAAATCCAACTGAAGGAAGGGTTATAATGATAAAAACATCAGATATAAAATTTTGTTCTCAATATATGGGAACCTCAAGTTTACTATGAAGTAAAACTACTGTGTATCAGTAGCTATCACCCTTCAGCTATATTGTGGGGGAACATGGAAAACAAGGAAGAAAAGAACAAGAAAAGAGTTATAAGAAAAATGAACCCACTTGAATATCAACCATAAATTGGGCTTAGTATGAGAATCAATGCACATGCCCCCATAAGAGGAAATAGAAGTTGTAAGTGAGTGGGTTGTGTTTGGCTTGTATCCAGAAAGTCACAGTCCTGTGCCAACTTTTGCATTTTTGAATTGGTGCCCATTTATTAAATTTTTATAACATTAAACAAGCCACTTTGAATGCTACAAGAAAAACTTATATTCTAGTTGAGATTGAGATAGACATGTATTTTCCAAAACATCATATCACTAGTTTACATTTGATATTGTTTTAACTTAGAAACATTTGAAAAAAAAAGTAAACAGAAAAAGATGTGAAGCTTAGGCTACATACACACAACACTTTTTGTATACATACATACATACATACATATATATATATATATATATATATATATATATATATATATATATATATATATATATATACACACACATATACATATTTTTTTTCTGCACTTCAAGGTATACTTTGAATGAGTGAATGGAGTTAAAAACCTTTGCAGTCTCTGCCTTGTGCCAAAAGAAATCAAATGTGTGAGAGGTGTTATAGTCTTCAGTAAATAGTAATGATTCCTACAACAGTTCTACATAACCTGACATTTCACTGCAGAATTATCATCCCTCCAAGAAATACATTTTTGCAAGCTGAGGCTACTGCTAATATCCCTCACAGAATATGCAATTAGAAGAATGGTGACAGCCTTGAGATCAATGTGGCGTGTTTAAAGATGAATTTCTTAGAATGCTAAATAATTACAACAGCTCTGAGAATGACTAACAGAATCACTCAAGTATCAGTAATTAATCATAATTGTCTTACAAAATTAGTTTTCATCCTTCATTCTCGTCTGTTTGTAACCAAACCTTTTCTGTACATGATTTTAAGTCCCTGAGACCAAAGTGTAAAGTAATATAACAAAGCTTTTGTAGCCCCTTATTGAATGCAAGGATTGTACTGAGTTTCATGTTATCATAGCTCTGATATTGTTTACCTATTTTGGGGATACAATGGTCACTGAGAAAGTTCAGATTACAAAGTATCCCTAGTTAACCATTCTCTATTACAAATGTTGCTATGTGGCACAAGAACTCATGGTGATATGCTTACATTTCTTAGCAATTTTTTTGAGCTGAAACAGTAGCACCAAGTGGACTTAGGCTGTAAGTGGCACTATCGGCAATCTTTAGCTTTTACTTGTGGCATATCATCTGTAGCAGATTATTTCCTGTACCAAAGACTATAACTTTTTGTCTTCTACAAGAATATCATCTACCAATTTTTTATTCATCCTTAATCCTGAGTGAAGTTCACTCTGACCTTAAAATGCTCAATTATAATCTATGCTCCAGGAGCTTTTTTTTCCCCAAGCATAATTAAAAGACTTCTTCATAATATCTGTCTGCACAAAAGCCTTTCATTGTTATAAATATACATATAGAATTACCTTTAGAAGCTGTAAAGATCAAGATAAACATCTGCATTAGGTATAAAAATATCAGCAGAAAGTACTGGTAAGCATAAAATCACTTATCCAAGTCTGTCATCTATACCAAAATGCATAAATACAGGCTTTTCCCCCCGTTAAAGAAATAAAAAGAAGGTAGGAAAGGTTAGATTTGGGATTTTGGGCTCACATGATTCCCTGGTTTTGGAACTTTGTCTCTGGAGGGTGCATCACTTTCAATAACAAATACCCTTTCAAATTCTCAATTTGCAAAGGAAATACCATAGATGAAAAGTTACTTCTTTTAGGTAATTTGACACAATAGTTCTGCATAACAAATTCCAATGATTTTCATATTGATGGGTTCCTCTCATTCTCTACTATCTACATATATATATATATATATATATATATATATATATATATATATATATATATATATAATATATATATATATATATATATATATAAATTATTTCACACACACACACACACAAAAAAAAAAACTACCTAATTAGTGACAATCTTGGCATCGATAGGAGGCCATAAAAGGTAACAGTTAAATTGCAGAGTTAAATATAAATAATATACAGAGAGTCAGTCACTATATTGTCTAATGCATGTGGCTGTGACCTGCGAATCCCCCATGGGGGGGCTGCTACTCCTAACCCCTGAAATGGAACAAAAAGAATCCACAACATATTCATGGCAGAAGAGACGGTATGACAGACATGCAGTAATGACGATGCTGAGACTGTCCAACACTCTCTCCTGCTGTGAATGCGTAGAGGATTCTTAGTTTTTTTGGGGGGTGGAAGTTGAGGAGCAGCAATATAGTGACTGATTTTATGTACATCATTCCTATTTTACCCGCACCTTCCCTGGTACCTCTCATGCCCTTCCCTGCTATCGGGCCAAGAATATGGGGCTTTGGGGATTTTATACATTTAGGTACAAGAGTGAAAGAAATTCATTGATACCAAACTCATTGCAATCCGTTAGGCAGTATTATTGTATAAAAATTATCTTATTTTTTAATTGATCCATCCATAACAGGCAAATTACCTTATACAATTTGGTTATATGAAACTGAAATTATACCCTTTGGACAATACTCGACAACCACTGCTTATAAAAAATAAAGAATTTAAGATACTAATAGGGTGTCACAATTTTTGGTTATTTTATCTTTTACGACAATCAGGAATTCTCAGAAATTATCTGTCATATTTATTATCGAATGACAAGAACGAATCTGGTGATAATTTCCGCTGC